AGACTGCGTGGCTCGCCATCGTCGAGGGTGTCGCTGGCCGTCGTGTCAGCCGAGGATCGTAGCGCGCCATCACTCTCCGATAGGTGGCATGCGGCGCCAACGACAGCGCCGGCGGCGCTTGGGAGCCAGGAGGCGGACCGCATGGTGATGCTGCTAGGGCAGCCGAACAGCCTGGGCTTCGCACAATACGTTGGGTATGTGTGATGGTGGACGAGGTGACGGGGCGCGCGCTGTTCTACTACCTCGCCAAGGCCAACGGCGGCTCCGCCACGTCGTCCAAGGGGCCCCTCCTCCTCTGGCTCAACGGTGGCCTTGGCTGCTCGTCACTCGGGTACGGCACCATCGAGGAGCTCGGCCTGTTCCGCGTCAAGAGCGACGGCGAGATGCTCAGCGCGAGGATGAGATGGCCACCAGTGTCGTCGCACCACGTCGCGCTGACCTCGCCCCATTGCTCCTCTGAGGTTACCATGCCATTCCCGACGATGTCAACGGGAAGGGGAAAAGAATGAAGGAGAAGGAGAAAAAGAAGCTAAGAGAAGGGGCAATCCGGATATTTAGAAAAATATCTCACCTCTTTTATCCTGGAAATAATAAAATAATACGACCGGTGTCCTACGGCCAATTACACATTTTTTGCGTGTCCTATGGCAAATTTTGCCCAAGAATAGAATAGAGGATACAGAGAAAACGAAAGAAAAAAGAAATAGAGGATAAGGAGTGAAAACGAAAACTAATAAGCTAGATAGGAGAAGAGAAAAAAATAGAGAAGAATATGGGATACATTTAAAACAAAAAAAAAGAAATAGAGGATAAGGAGAGAAAACGAAAAAAAGAAGCTATATAGGGGATACAGAGAACGAAAAAGAAAATAGAGGGTAAGGAGAGAACGAAAAAAAAAAGAAATAGAGGATAAGGAGAGAAAAAAAGAAGCTATATAGGGGGACAATTGGGGCTCGAACCTAGCACCTCTTGTCTCGTAGCTATGATATCTCCACCATTAAGGCCTTGTTTAGTCGAGAAAATTTTAGGTTTGATTATCACGTCAGATATACAGACACACATTTAAAGTATTAAACGTAGCCTAATAAGAAAACAAATTATAGATTCCGTCAGGAAACTGCAAGACGAATTTATTAAGACTAATTAATCCATCATTAGTAAATGTTTGTAACACATTGTCAAATCATGGCACAATTAGACTTAAAAGATTCATCTCGCAATTTACATGTAAACTGTGTAATTAGTTTTTTATTTTGTCCATATTTAGTACTCCATACATGTGTCCAAACATTTGATGTGATGGGTAAAAAGTTTTTGTTTTGGAAACTAGACAAGGCCTAATCCAAGCAAACCTTTTGTAAATCAAAGTGCATGGTTATGGTTTTATCCTATGAAGCTCTCAGTGCCATGTAGTATGGCGCTGAGCTCGGATGATTTGGCAAGTCCTTGTCACCTCGCATGAAATCTCAGCGCTAATATTAGTGGCACTAGGACGCTATAGATCAGCGGCAAGCATGATGGTGCTAAGTAAAAGACTTAGTTTTGTAATTAGTTTTTATCATGGTTAAATCTTCAAACAAATTTTCTAAGAGAATCATTTTGTCAAATTTTCGGCCGCTTTTTCCACTGCTCAGCCTGCACATGTATCACGCACGGGACCAGACGCAGTGTGAATGGCCTGATAAGACAAGCGAGGGGCAGTGCTTATTCCAGCATTGGGTCAATTGGCAAGTTGATTACAACACGGAAAATTAAATTGGATGATCCTTAAATTGGAAGTATGTCAGAACAATAAAAGAGTGGCAGCCGTGCAAATTAGCTTTATGCAAAATCTAATTCGCGCGCGCTCTCTGTTTTGTCTTGTTGCGCCACATACTCATCGGCCGTCCGATCCAACAAGCTCTGGTGCGTCTGTACATAGCCTGGTGATTCACGGACGTGCCATCATCCAGAGGAATCCAAATTGGAAGCCATGTGACGCTCTACGCTACGCCGGCTTCAAAAATAATTTTCTCTTAAACAAATCATCCGATCTACGATCCGATTACACCGTTGTGTTCGTAAGAATTGAATCTTTATAACAAGATCTCATATGATTATGTTTTGATGAAAAATTAGAAATTACTTTTATAATATATCTAAATTACTTTTAGATTTCACTAAATTACTTCTTAGACCCATAAAAGTAAATTTAAAAAAGCCTAAAAGTAATTTACATATATTATAGAAGTAACTTAGAAAAAAAAATAACTTTATCACGACATTAAAAGTAAATCCGTTATGGAGGTAAAAACATGAGTCTATATAGAAATTAAATTTAATCAGCACAAATTACATCATTGACTAAAAATGATTATAAAATAAACAACTCACAACATGAATGTATAGATTTCTTTTAATGCCGTAACAAGTTACTTCACTTTTGTTTTAAGTTACTTTTATAATATAGGTAAATTACTTTCTGGCTTTATTAAATTAATTTTATGACTAAGAAGTAATTTAATGAAATCTAAAAGTAATTTAGATATATTATAAAAGTAATTTCTATTTTTTCATAAAAATATAGTCATGTGAGATCTTGTTATAAAGATTTAATTGCTATGAACACAATGGTGTAATCAGATCGTAAATCGGATGGGTAATCTAAGAGAAAATTCTATAAGAAGAAAAAAAATACATGCACTTTTGAATATAATAGTAGTAACTAGATATGAGGTTGAGAGGTAGCTGGTTATGACCATACAGAGAACGGTCTCGTTGTAGACACGTCCTAGCTTTATCTATTGTTGCCACGTTTATTTTGTAGTCATGTCTGATGACAGGTAGCTAGGGTGGTGGAGACCATTTGATTTTTTTTCACGAACATAAAAAAATATAAACATTAATATATTAAAAAATAGAAAAAAATAAGTAGAACCCATATATCAGTAACATATAGAAAAAAAAATATTTTTCTCCTCTCATTTTTCATTTATTTTTTCAAAATTAAAAACAACATTTTATTCTTTCTTTTTAAATTTAATTGTTTTCTATGTAACTGACATGTGGATCCCACTGACACGTAAGCGTTACCGTGGTATGCCACGTCATCTCAAGAATCAGGTTGAAGTCTATTTGAACCTATATGGCATTCATGATAAGTTTAGGGATTCAAAAATATATTGGTATGCCACGTCATCTCAAGAATCAGGTTGAAGTCTATTTGAACCTATATGGCATTCATGATAAGTTTAGGGATTCAAAAATATATTTTAATAGTTTAGAGATCTAAATAACACATCTGTAAGGACTACCCGTGTATTTCACTCTAATGTTAATTGTTTAGTTATGTGATGTTCTTCATAATAATAATAGGGATAGCATGGGTATTCTAATTAAATTAATTTTCTCATGCATGTACTTATACCAGCATTGCATCTATCGGCAAGTCGATTACAACACGGAAAATTAAATTGGATGGTCCTTAATTATGTCAAAACTATAAACGAGTTGCAGCCGCACAAGTTAGCTTTATCTATCATTGCCACATTTATTTTCCTACATGCGACACTGTCAGCACCTGGATCTGGACTTCACGACGCCGACGGCCTCGAGCTCCTCCCCAACCTGTCCTCACCTCGTCCATCACGTGCACGGTGCCCCGTTACCTCACCACCACATCGTCGGCTTCGCTGCCAGGAACTGCCGGCGCACGGTACCGGTGAAGGGGTATCCTCGCCATCACGGGCCTCTTCCTTATTTGTTTATAGTTGCGCCAAGCCGCCACTGCCACCGGCGGGGGAGGCGGTGACCTTTGAACGACGCCAGCCTCTCCTCGTCGCCCACCAGCTTGCTGGCCTTCTCCGCCACCAGCACCCAGTGTTTGAAATTTCGGTTCGAAATTTTCAAAATTTCGGAAATTTTGAATTTCGCCCCCCACCGAAATGCTAACATCTCGCCCGAAAATTTCGGTTTTTTTGTATTTTTTTGTGAATTTGGTTACATTTTATTCAAATTTATTAAAAATCTGTCAAAAATTCAAAAAATTTCATACGAATTTTTTCCGAAATTTCTGAAATTTCAATTCTATCGCTCAGCTGCGGCAGAAATGCTGATTTCGAAATTTAAAACCCTACCAACACCCTCTGTTGGCACCGCCACCTGCTAGCTTGTTGGATTAGGAAAGAAGTTTGATCCTAAGAGCAAAGCTATCATTTTGCAAAAATTATCTCTCCAAAATAGCAAGAATTCATACAATAACGTGTATGGTGTCTACCAGTAAATTACCACGTTTTTGAAGTGTCCTCGAGCAAATTTACATTCTTGTGGTGTCTCCCAACAAAAACAACATTTTTTGAGTGTCTTGTAGCAAATTTTGCCTAAATTCTAATAGGTGTTATATTATGATAGTGCTTGCTAAGGCAAATTTGCACATAGCATTTTTTTTCTAAACTAAACATTTGGAAAGTTATTGATAGTCAATTTTAAAAGTTTGATCAAATCTTGTGATATTTGAGTTTATTGCAATATCCTTTTTGTGTCAGATGATTGAAGAATATATAATTCTTATGTGTAGGAGTTACATTAGAATCGAAATTTTGGTTCACTGTTATGCTTTTTCTAACATTACTATTCTCAGAAAAAATGCAAAAAATGTTAATGCTTTTTCTACCTTTAGGAGGTATGCATTTTTAAAGTGATAGTAGAATACCCATGCAAGTGATAGTAGAGGTAGTCTCTTCACTGTTATATATATCTGCTAAACTGTTGGAGCCATTTATATCGTGCAATATTATATCTGCTCCTGAAATGTGTCTTAACTAATGGCATACCATTCCATATGCATCAATTAATTGGCATATACCATTCCACAACTCAATGGTCCTAGCAAAAGGCGAGTTAATTTGCGAGATGGGCTTTTCTGAATGGCCTTTTTTGAATGAGCTAATTAATTCTTTCAATAAGTACACTATATAAATAGCATGACAGTATACCTGGCCTCTATATAAATAGCATGCCGCAGGGTGATCAGTGTGTTGCCTAGAATTGGTGTGTTGTTCCCATCAGAAAATACAACCATGATCAACACGGAACGTGATTTCCACATGGTCGGAGGGGAAGGAGAAATTAGCTATGCCAGGAATTCTAGGGTTCAAGTAACTACTCTATCTATCTGTCTGGCTGTCAATCTGCATATATCTGTCTCTCTTACTCACTAACACATATGCGCGCGTTTCACTGCTTTTTTCCTTAAAAAAAAGAGGGTAAGAGGTTTGCCTCATATATATTGATATAGCAGAGTTACTTGCTATTGTGATACAAGGTATTTTGCCAATCATCTGCATGCAAGTTATGAGGTCTGTTAGAACAATAGCTTTAATTTATGATAGTATCAGCAAACAAGTAAACTATAAGTTGTGATAGTGCAAAGGTAAACTAGGTTGTACCCATGATGCATGATTGCATGGAGCATATTTATGAATTTGAAACCATATAAAATTCACTGACTTCATTAGTTACCAGGAAAAAAAATGCTTGTACAGCATACAAAGACAAGATTGGAAATTCTTTTTGTTGGCTCCTAGTATCGTACCTGATATGAACCTAGAAGTACAATGTTTTACGTACTTTTCATCCGAAGATTAAAGTGGATTAAAGTGTATTCCTTATACACCAGTTAGAATAGAGGGTATTTGCCCGGCGAAAAAGAAAAATAGAGGGTTTTTTCCTCTATCCATGGCGATCAAGGGAGCTTTACTCAGGAATCATTAAAAAGAAATTCTGATGAGTACAGCTTTTTGGCTTCCTTTGATTTGTAGAGAAAACGAAGAAAGCAATAGGTTCCTTGATATAGAAAGTAACATGTTTCATTTTTTGACACGAATGAATCGATGTTTTCTTTCTTTTTTTATCAGATTGATCAATGCACAATATTTAATTATTTGATTATGTTATACTCGAATTTAATTCCAGCTAATGATACATCATATATTAGTAGCAATAATTAACAATCTTTTCACATGCATGTACGCTGTTAGAACAAGGCTATGATGGAGACTAAGTCAATCCTCGATAAGGTAACCCAAGAAGTATACACTGGTCTTTTACCACGTAACATGGTTATTGCCGACCTTGGCTGCTCTTCAGGACCGAACACATTGCGTTTTGTCTCGGAGGTGATAAATATCATAACTAAGTGCCAAAATAAGCTAGGACAACTTGATTTAATGGATCTTCAGTTCTTCTTAAATGACCTACCTGGTAATGACTTCAATCACCTCTTTCGGACATTGGAAACGTTTAAGAAGGCAAATGAAACAAATCATGAAGGAGAAATAGTACCTGCATACTATATTTGTGGAGTGCCAGGTTCCTATTACACAAGGCTTTTTCCTCAACAAACTATTCATCTCTTTCACTCCTCGATATCTCTTCACTGGCTCTCTCAGGTACGCAATAAAATTAATCAAGTGTAACATCTATATATAGTACTACAAGATGTTCATACACATGTGGTCTCTGCCAATGCAAGTCAAATCATCAGCATGATACTTTGAGTTAATTAGCAGTGCTATCATTTACTTAGGTGCCTGAGGAGCTGAATGGCAGGAAAAAAGTGTACCTAAATGAAGAAAACATATACATCACAAAGACTACACCACAGTCCGTGGTGAAACTATTCCAAGAGCAGTTCTACAAGGACTTCTCCCTCTTCCTCACGTTACGCCATGAGGAACTCGTGCTTGGGGGCCAGATGGTACTGACATTTTGTGGGAGAAAGAATGAGGACGCACGCAGTGGATCAGAACTAAACAATCTCTTTGGTTTGCTTGCACAATCACTACAATCTCTTGTCGCTGAGGTACATATACAATTATCTATGCGAATTTGGTGTCACTCTCTCAAGATGCGATACAAGATACACCCTCTATCCCTAAATGTTTGACGCCGTTGACTTTTTTAAATATGTTTGACCGTTCGTCTTATTGAAAAAATTTAAGTAATTATTAATTTCTTTTCTATCATTTGATTCATTATTAAATATACTTTTATGTATACATATAGTTTTACATTTTTCACAAAAGTTTTTGAATAAGACAAATGGTCAAACATGTTTAAAAAAGTCAACGGCGTGAAACATTTAGGGAAGGAGGGAGTATATCATATATAAAAAGGAAATTTTCAGGTGAATACATGTAATTAAAATAAACTCTCGGCATGTATATAACAGGGCTTGGTGGAGAAGGAAAACCTTGAGTCCTTCAATCTACCACTGTATGGGCCATCCGTCGGTGAGGTAGATGAAATAGTGAAGAACGTCAATTTGTTCGAAATGGATCACATCAATCTGTTTGAGTGTAATTGGGATCCTTATGATGACTCACAAGGTGATATTGTGCATGACAGTGCCTTGAGTGGCATGAATGTAGCAAAGTGCATTAGAGCCGCACTGCAGCCCTTAATTGCATCTTATTTTGGAGAAGACATACTCAATGCGTTGTTTGAAGAATATGCTCACCGTGTTGCCAAGCACCTTGAGAAGGAGAAGGGTAAGTTTGCTTTTATTGTCGTATCTTTGAAGAAAAGATGCTACATAAAGATCGGGAGCTAGTACTCGAGTATATCACTAAATGTATTGCTACGTTAAACATATTTCATATCTGCTACTTGTTTGTTTCTTTCACCTACTTGCATGTTATTGTCCTCCCTGGATGTATATGTGCATGATCAAATATGGTCATTATATTTGTGTTTCCTTGTATCTCTATGGATATAAATAAAGGTTAATTGGATCCGTACCATTATAAATTTATCTGCTAGGAATAATATCATTGCTATTTAATAATTTGCTCTAATGTCATTACAATTTTATACTTATTTAAAATATATATATACCCCGTACTTAACCCTTCACTATATTTTCTAATATTTTTAGACCAAATCAACCCCTTCTCCTTGCTCGTCCTCTCATCTCTTCAATGGGTCTAAATCCAATCCAAATCCGCACCAACCCAACACCTCTTCAAAGCAGCTCACTCAACCAATCCACCCCACTTCTTCACCTCTGGGACCCAATCCAAACCAGTCCACAAGCAGTTTCAGGCCAAACCAACCCAAACCATAATAGTCTTAGTGGATTCAATCCATTTGGAATCCATGGATTCAACCCACATGCAGTCCACAACGGTGCTAAGCGCATCGCTCAATGGCCGCACAGATAGGAATCGTACAGCAAAGGCCGGACCCCACCATGGACTTCTTCGATACCAATCTTGCGAGGAAGAACGTGACATCCACACGCAGCGATGGCCTGCTTCTTTTTTAGGTGGATGAAATCAAGGCGACGGCGAGCAGGACGAACCCGACGTTCGCGGCGCTGGCGCTGCGTTTCGCCGTTCGCGTCGAGCTCGCCGGCCACCACGCAGAGCCCGAACGGCAGTAGGTCGAGCCCCAGCCATGGCCGCGGTGTAGTTTGTCGAAGGATTTGGGTAACGTGCACGTGAAGCGCCGCGACGGCGCGGCCTCCGCCGCAGCCCGCAGCAATGCAGGTGAACCCTCACTCCTGTCCGCATCTAGCCGGCTAGCCTCCGACCGTGCTGCGCTCTCCCGCTCCGCCGCGATGGCCCATCCCGCCAAGCACGCGCCACCAGCTCGGCTGCTCCTCGATGCGCTCCGCACCACCACCGCCGCTATTCGCGTGCGTGCGCCAGCTGCGCTCTCCCGCGCCGCCTCCGAGAAGATCGCCGTGCCGCGGATCGCACCAAGCCACGCCGTGCCGCCTCCGCCGCCGCCGCCTCAAGCACAGTAGGACTCAGGCCATTCAGTTCATCCACTCCTATTCCTGGGTTGAACCGATGGGTAGAATCCATTTTTGACCCAAAAAATTTAGGGAAAATTGGAACCATGCCATTATAATTTTGTAAAATTTAAGATATGTCATCCTGACCCACATGTCATTGACTCATGTAGGTCCTACATGTCATTGAGATACCGATGGCATATCTCAAACTTTGCAAAATTATAATGACATGGTTCCAAATTACCCAAAAATTTATTACGACATCGAAACCAATCCAACCCATATTTCAGTGAGTCCAAATCGCTCCAACCCATTCCAAGTCCTACCCCATTTCAATCCAACCGAAGACGGTCCATTTAAAAACCCAACCCATTCCACCATTTACATCCAGTTGTCGTCCTCCTGCATCAAAAGCATCATACGGATGCCACACGGCACCGGAAAGCTTCCACCAATTGAGGTGCTTGAACAGGGTGGATTGTATCACCATTTGTGTGAGACCTGCGGCGAGGAGCCCTCTCGAACAGTGCCACCCCCAACACCAGCATGTCGAAGCCCTAGCTCGTACAGCGCCACCACCTCGTGCTTGCGCCTCTCCTCCTTCATTTTTTTGCATGATGGCGTTGACGATGACGTCGACCGGCACGAACACAACCTTACTTGGCCTTACTAAAACTAGACTGAATTTAGAATCTAACAATCGATGTCAAACGTAATCTATTCGCCACAAAATTATCTACGACAACTTTATTATTCGATCGAGATAAAGTTTAAGATTGTTATTAGGCTGTAAAAGCTCCTTAATAAAATCTAAGTTTGGTGAAACTAGTGGTAAGAAATCTGATAGAGTAAGGTGCGATCTACGTTTATCCCACCACCAAACACTACATCAAAAACTGTAAAATCAAAGTGTTTTTGATTCTTTATTCTGTGATGAACAAGTGGCGTCTGTGATTATTGGTTTTGATACTTAGAGATTATTGGCGAAGTGGTTTTGGAGATGATTGGTTTTTACAGGTGATATACAGGTGCTGCTGGATATGTGGTCCGGTTAGACCGGGCAGTGGTTGCTGGTCAGACCGGCGTGTATCGCGCGGTCAGACCGGCTAGCCCGCGGTCTGACCGGCCGATTCTGTATTTCGGGTTGTTTGTTGGGATATCCGTGATTGTTTCATGTTTATGGCTTCTAGATGGATACTATGGGTATGTAATCACTACACTGGCCACGGTCACCTGTGACGGGCCCAAACCATCACCTTTGACGGCTTTGAGCATGGTCAGTGATCAGTGGTCACTAGTGAGTCCAGTCACCTTTTACGGGTGGCCGGCCGTCACAGGTGACACCCACCTCTGACGGGCAAGTTACTAGAAGGCCGTCAGAGGTGTTGGTCTCCGCTAGCCTAGGGCCAGTTGAGACCCGTCACAGGTGGCTCATCTCTGATGGCCCTTTAAGTAAAGGCCGTCAGAGGTGATGGTCTCCGTAGATAGAAGCGGTCACAGGTGATCTACCTGTGACGGCCCCGAAAGTAAAGGCCCATCACAGGTAGGTCACCTCTGACGGGCCTTTATTTGCGAGTCCGTCATAGGTGAGGTTACCTTTGATGAATTTTGGTTCCGACCCGTCACTGATGTATTAATTCCAGAAAAAAAAATAAATGCTAAATATTGGCTAGCCCTAGGATTTGCTAGCCATGCCCTTTAAAAACAGAAACATCACAAATATATTCCAGTTACCCCCCTAATATAACATCACAGATCCATCTCAAACATCACAGATCCCCAACATCACAGATCCATCTCAAAAATTGACATCATTCACATATGCAATTCAAATGCCACAATTTTGCACAGCAAATTCATACCCCTTGAAAGCCACAATTTCGGTCGTTACTCATAGAACTGCATATATGCTTAACAAATTGATTAAAGCCATAATGTCCTTGACCTCCACGACCTGTCAATTAGAAAAAAAGGAGAGAACAAATGAATAGTACAACGTAAATCGTAGTTGATCAAATTTGATGACAATTTAGCAAACTACCATAAATATTGCACATATGAAAGTAAATTACATTGCACTCCATAATGTAGAATCATAAAAACAACTTTTTTTACATCACAAGAATTTATCTAGCCAAGTTTATGAGTCTATTTGACATGAAAACATCCTTTCTTGTTCATTATTTCCGCAAGAATGAAGGTGGACACTTCGCCTCTAATAGCGGGAGGGTTGATGGGTGAGATCTTCAAGCCAGCTCTACCTTTCTGTTTAATAAATCAGAGATTAGCACGTTTAGAATAGCAATGTTGGTATTGAAATGAGCTTATTCACCATTAGCAACAACCTCAGTGTCGAAATCTTTCACCTCTCTTAGAAGTGTTGACATGTTGTGGCACACGTGGAAACCACACTGATCTCCGATCTGTTGTGCACATGCAAACTTGGTGTCATGATAGAGTTCGTCCTTACCCTCCTTGTGCCTACCACCCTTTTCCACATATGGGCCCCAAACCATATTTAAGGCCTTGGTGATTTCAGTGAAATCATAATCTTTCGTCTTATTGGAGTTAAGGTAGGTAACCCTACTCCACTTAGGTACGATGACTAAAAGAATCCAATGTTGCCTGTGCGGTGGTTATGTAGCATTAGTAATAAGAACCTTAACTTCAATAACAATATGCACAAAGGGTATTGTCCTCTTAATCCTGGTTGTGTGTACACATGATGTACTCCTTGTCTTGGTGGGCCCATAAACACCGGTTGAGATAGTCAACCACATCAGTGAAGCTCTAGAGTAAATTGACCTCGTTCACCATGGATGGATCATGGAACCCAACCTAATTACCAAGGCGACGACGCTCGATCCAACACAACCTTAAAACATTTACGTATTAGAACTAACTTAATTAGGAGATATAGTCCAATCATATCACAAGTATAGAAGGTCTGCACTTACAAGGAGTAGCATTTTAGAAGTCCAGTGTCCAACTTCCGGATCCTGAACAAGTCGAAGAGGTCATCAAAGCCTATAATTATATAGGCAGGCGACGATAGGAACGGCTGCTGGTCGTGATGTCCAACTATGGATGACTCCCTCATTTTCCGCTTGGCATTACTTAGCTCCATGTATTGCCTATATAGCTCTTAGCAAGCAATACCCATCACGGCTAACACATTGTCCTCCACCAATGGCATGCCTAGTTCAAATTGGGCTGGCGCCCTCACGACCTTTCCCGCTTTGCTCACCGACATCGATGTAGCAGCCTTGCCCCTTTTTGGCACCGGTGCCAACTCCCCGATCTTCCCCTTGCCGCGTTGACGCTTCTGGCCCTTGACAAGTGGTGGGGAACTATCGGCCTTTCTTGTGGTCTTAATTGGAGCCAAGCTTTGAGCTATATCTGCCAAGTCCATAGCAGCTCCACTAGGAGAATGAGGTACTGACAATGCCGAACCACGGGGAGCCTCAATTGATAGCTTAGACTTGGGAGGTGTAAGCTCCGTCGGTTGACTTGGACGAGGAGTCATCTTCACAACTATGTCTTCTTTGGGCCATTGTATGAACATCTTGCGCGCATCGCCCAAAGTCATGATTTCATCATTGGGGGGCACAGGCAGCGGATAGACTGACCAGGTGTCCTTTACTGTATCGATGGACACCTTGGCATACCCAGCTAGCAAGTCTGCGTTGTGGACCTTATCTATAACCGAGGGTTTGAAAGCCATGCCCTCAGCGACTTCGGGAGCGAAAGTTGGTTGGACCCTAGCCAGTAGGATACACTGTGCTACGCCCTGCATATGTAAAGTTTGAATTTAATATTGGAACGTGTAAAGGTTTTTGATTAGATATGGATCGGATAACATCATTTACCTCTATGTGGTCCACTGCAGCTAGTGGTGCGACCGAGAGACCAGGTGCCGGCACCTCTGTGGATGCACAACTACTCCTACGCTGTGACAGACTCGCGTTGTGTTGTGCACGAGGAGTTGGATGCATAGCGTGTGTTGTGCCTCG